GTCACAGCAGATAGAGGGTCACAGCAGATAGAGGGTCACAGCTGATAGAGGGTCACAGCAGATAGAGAGTCACAGCAGATAGAGGGTCACAGCAGGTGGAGTCACAGCTGATAGAGGGTCACAGCTGATAGAGGGTCACGGCTGATAGAGGGTCACGGCTGATAGAGGGTCACAGCTGATAGAGGGTCACAGCAGATAGAGGGTCACAGCAGATAGAAGGTCACAGCTGATAGAGGGTCACAGCAGATAGAGGGTCACAGCAGATAGAGGGTCACAGCAGATAGAGGGTTGAAAGCTAGAGTGAAGAGTTGAAGTATGGAATGATTCCCAAACGGCTGGTTTGTGAAGCTGAACCAACCAATGATCAGAGAGAAAATGAACGCAGCATCGCTTTGCTCCTTTATAGGTCTATCTGATATTAAACATATTAATGGGACAAATGAACATTTCCTCCCAAAATGTAGAAAATAAAGCAGGTCAGGAACAGACATTCAGTTTCCTGTCCTGTTCTAAGGTGGGGGTGTGATGGTGGGAGTACCTTACTATGGCCTCTCTTATGGTCAGTCCACACATTAAACGATCCCTGCATCAGCAGCTTCCCCAGTTCACTCAGGTTCCCCTGGAAACATCACAGAGCAGGAAGTCAGACCAGTAGAGAAACTTACAACAGCTGCTTGTGGTCTACAGCATCATACAGATTTTCCTAATAATGATCACAATGACTTAGAGTTAGACTAAATTTATTGTTGTTTTGTGTACACAGAGTGTATACAAAATTTAATTTCATTTATACAGCTTTCCAACAGTGAAGCTTAGAGGTGAAAATAAACATTTCCATTTATAAAGTGCAGCAGTGTTTGAATTTAAACAGTGTGGGAGAAAAAACATGGTGCAAAAAGGCAATGATGTGGAAGTTCAGAGAAGTGAAAAAAATAAATAGATATCGTGCAAAATTTAGTAAAAGACATTTGAGTTGAGCTCTATTTTGAAGATTCACCATGAAGTGCAAGTATGGTGTTATCATTGTGACACAGAGTCTTAATTTGTGACGTGATTTAGATTTAGATCAGATTTTCTCATCAGTTGATCAGTGTGATGGCGGTGGGGAAGAAGCTGCTGCAGAACCTGCTGGTCCTGCATTGAATGCTGTGAAGCCTCTTCCCAGAGGGCAGCAGGGAGAACAGTCCATGGTGGTGGGGGTGGTGGGGGGGGGGCTGGGTTCTCCCTGCAGAGAGCTAATCAAAAGCCTAAAAGCAGAGAGGATCATGGGGGCTCCTCTTTCTCCATTAAAGACATTTCATCTCAGCGCTGCGTGTCCCGAGCCCGTGACATCATCAAGGATCCCCCCCCCCCACAAAGCCTTGTTTTAGTGAACTCTATAAAACCTGGAACTGAACGTTATTTCAGACATTTTAAATAGAAAAATCTTCCTGGATTGGAAGAGAAACGTCTTCAAACTCTGAAACAAAGTCCAGTGGATTGTTTTTGACCTTTGTTGGAATGATAACACCAAACCAACATAATGCACATTTGCACCGTATATTAATGCTCTGAACTTCCAGATCAATGAACATTTGATCACTGCTGCACTTTATGGATGGAAATGTTCTGAGAGCTGAACAAAATGAAATTTAAGAAGCCTAAAGACTACAGAGTTTTAGTGACAGTGATTTGTGTTCATAGTGAAGGGCACAAACATTTGATCATCACAAGGTATATTTAATAAGAAAAAATAACTAATTTACTCACCAGACTAAACTTCTAAAGCGATACATAGAAACACGTTAGGTTTTAAGTGCTGATGGCATTTTATTGACATTTCATATTATTTATTGTAGACCAAAACCTTAGTATCAAAGATTAATGTGATAATTTCAAGAGCGCCTGCATAAAACAGTTTTTAATCATAAACTTCTGCCATTCAGAGGACTCTAGCGCCATCCAGTGACTGAGGGAGAAAGTGGCATATTCAGGAGAACGGCTGAGAGCTGGAATATTGGGTTTTATGGAGTTTACATGGATCAGATTCAGCTTTTCCTTTGCTTTTTCATTCAGCCTTTATAGGATGGCGTCGGCTTATTGAAGTTTCCTAAGGATCCAGAGCTGCTTTCAAAATCTACTTTAACACTGCAGACAAAATTTGACCAACTTGAGGTAACTGCCGTCAGTCTGTCATAAAATCCGACTTTTTCAAATCCAATCTGTGCCAAAGCAGGAATGTGACGGCAGTCTGAACAGCCAAGCCACCCTTATCGGATTTAATTGGACAAAGATGTCACTACGACAACAAGGAACAGTGTAGGGGGAGGGACAATTACCTCTTGGATTTAATAAGTAATTGGAACATAAAATGATCCAGAAGGGGTCAAACCTGGGGTCAACTGGTCAGCTGACTACAAAGCTGCAGCCATGCATTTCACCCAGTAGGTGTCGCTGCACGCAGAGATGGGTTTCTACTTTCTATTAACCACAGAGCTGCTGTGGAGCTACTGAAGGGAGGATGTTTGGTTAAAAAATCATCATAATAAACCTGGTTTGTCCTGCTGCTTGTTTTTAATGCAAAATTACAGGAAATCAATATTTCAACCATTTAAAGCAACCAACCAAGAAAAGCTGGACGGAAAGCAGCTTTATATTTTCAAACTGTCAAATTTTTCCAATCTGCTTTAACCCCTCCTGTCGTTACCTTCTCAACGCCTGTATGTATGTGCAGGGATTTAGACAAGACATCCGACTTCTTCCTGGCCTCGTTGCTGAAGTCATCACAGACTCTCCGGAGCTCCACACATTTAGGGCGGATGGAGTCCACCGCATAGTGGTTGCTTTGGATGAGCTGATCGCCGTGCATGGCATGCAGCTGCGCCTTTTCCACTGTTGGCTGAGGAAAATACAAGTTTTGACAGAAATATTAGTATCCACTTTTTTAAATAATATTTAATCATTAAAATATATTATCTTTGTTTTC